GTTACGCAATAATTATATTATCATGTTGACGCTATTAACTCGTTAGTAATTAATAATATATGGTGACATCGCAAGTCCGAAGCAGGAAATAGAAGCTGAAATCAGAAACAAACTCCACTCAGAGAGTGAGAAAAATAAGTATAAGTAAACACTAATTTTAATATCGAAAAATCCCGGTATAGAAATTTAATTACAAAAATTAAAATGAAACTATTACAAAATGTTAATAATTCATGTAAATTTAGGCTAAAATTATTGAATATCGCTGAATTAGTGGTTATGATGCATTAACCAGTGTCAACACCACCGAAATGCATGAAAATTTGGGTCACTAACGGTGGAGTTTCGATACATTATAATAAAATCGGTCTAATTAGAAGCAATGAAACTCCGCATCATATACAGAATGTTTAGAAATTGGCGAATAATGTACACGTAGCTACATTCTACAATCGACTCTGAATCGAAAATCTTAATGTTAAAATGTTGCCAAATATGTTTTTAATGAAGATATGATAATGAAAAAATGTGAAAAAAGTTTTCAAAATTATTTTTATTCTAAATTACAGCATATTTGTCAACAGATATTGAATATTAATCATTATTTATAGATAAATTATTCGAACTTTGAGAACCTCAAGGAGACGGATCGCTACGTGTACATTATCCGCCAATTTCTGAACACCTGTATATTTGAAACAAATAAAGGTTATTATATTAATTTAACTTCCATTTAATTGGTAACTATGATAAGCTATACGAGTATATTTGGAGACATAATTCGGAAGCTATTCGAAGCTATTGAAGAGATTGGGACTCATTCGAAGTTATCCGGAACTGTTCGGCATAATGTGGACCAGTTAAGAATCAACTAAAGTTCAGAAATTCGTGTATTAAGAGACATTTGAATCAATTAACTTTTCAATACACGCGCAAGGACTATCTGTAAACGCAATTTGAATTTCTAATTTCGCATTAGAATTGGACCGCGTTATGCATCACTTGACTAAGCAACAAATGACGTTGAGAAAAACGGGATTTTCGTTTTCATTTCTCTAAAAATATAAGACTTCTTAGAATAGACAGGCTCAAACAATTCAAAATTGTTTGGCGACTGTCCATTTTTATCACAGAACACTGATGACATCTATTACCTGCATAGAAGCCGCTTGGTCACTCGTTACGTTTTACGATTATACAGGATGTTTCAGAAAGTCGTGACAAGTTTACAGGTTAAAATTCAAGAATCCATGTGGCTTAAAAATCGACGATTTTTTTTAATCGATGTAAAATGACCCAAAAAACAGGTTAAAAATAAAAAGAAACTGCGGAAAAGTGACTAACAGTAGATTAACTTCAGTTATAAAACTTGTATTATATGATAACTAACTTCAGATTTAAAATGTCAACCTCAATTTTGTCATATTTGTAATCTTCATTAAAAATCCTTTAAAATGAGTACAAACACGACATATTTATCTTCAATATTAATGAAGTTATGGTCAACTTCCGGTTAAGAATGTCAATTTTGAGACATTTGTAATCGTCGTGAAAAATCCTTTAAAATGAGCCCAAACATGATGTTTTAATTGCAATATTACTCGAGATATAAGCAACTTCCGGTTTGAAATGTCAATGTCATTTTGACATATTCTTAATTTTTATATAATGTTTGTCACAAAAACTGAAATATAATAAAAAAAATCAAAGATTAAGGTTGGTATTGATATTTAAAAATTAAATTGCTATCTTCATTGTGGCTAACTTCGGATTTAACGTTTTTTATTCTAACTTTTTTGTTTTTTGAGATAAGTGCGTCATCTTTGGACTCATTTTAAAGGGTTTTTAATGAAGATGACAAATATGTCAACATTGACGTTGACGTTTCAAACCGGAAGTGATTGTATTTCCATAAATATTAAAGGTAAATATGTCGAGTTTAGACTCATTTTAAAGGATTTTTTATTAAGTTGACAAATGTCAAAATTAAAAGTTAAAAGTTCGAACTTTTTGGTTTTTTGAGATAAATGCGTCAAGTTTGGACTCACTTTAAAGCTTATTTTATGAAGATTACGAATATAATAATAAAATTAAAGTTGACATTGGCAATTGAAAGTTCTTTCATGACTAAACCCGAATGTTTTTAGTTCTCGTTCAAGTTGTAGTTCAATAAAAATGTACAATATAGTAATATCTTATGCTAACTAGCGCTACCTACCACTGTCACTAGAACTAACACAAGATCGAGAACTAGAAACATTCGGATTTACTCCCACGTCTCTCAAGACGGCTAAACCCGAATGATTTTAGTTCTAGGTCTTGTGTTAGTTCTAATGATAGTGCTAGTGTAAAACTAGAAGACGCACGGCTAAACCCGAAACTTTCTAGTTCTAGTGTTAGTTCTAGTTTTAGTGCAATAGAAATCGTATCTAAGTCGGTTCTTAGACGTATAATGTAAGTAGTAGTTTTGTAAGTAGACGTATAAAATCGTATAACGTGATTGGCATTTAGCTTTATTCTTTAAAACAAATAGTATTTTAGGTCTTTCGGTGTTCTGCATTTTTTCGAAGATAAGGTAAACCTTTACCTATCAGACAGCACGAAAATCTCTAAAAACGATAAAATGTTGCTTAGTTAAGTGGTCCAATTTCGCTTTTGTTCGTTAGCTGTTTCAAATGACAATATTTAAATGAATACAAACATTTGATATTGTTGATAGGCAATAATAACAATTCTAACAAATATTAATATTTGTGAAATATTGTTCATACAACTCAGACATATTCAGACACGAAACTTTCTAGATCTAGTGTTAGTTCTAGTTTTAGTTTATAAGTTAATCCTAGGTTTAGTTGTCATTCAGCGCTAGCTTGTTGTTTATTTTTATTAAACTAACAATAAGTATAGAACTAGCACTAGACCTAGAACTAGAAAGCTGCGGGTTTAGCAGTGTGTATTATAGTAAAATATATTTATTGATTTAAAAATGTTTGTATTCCATCTGTTATTTATAACAGTGTCTACTTAAGATAAAATCTCGGGATTTTTCCAGACAATGTTGATTACGTCATAATGTACAATTTTTAAATATTTGATGTCACATAAATTTGATTATCAATTTATCAATTAACTTAATCTGAGATTATGTATAAAATAATGTATTTGACCTATTATACCATCTATAATTAATCTGGAAGATTAAGTTGATTTGATGCTTTTTAATGTAAAAGATAATGGTACTTGAACGATAACTATAGAGTGACTGAATTATTCCGCAACACCCTACCCATATTTCAACTAGGAAATTTAATATCCCGAGCCTAAGCGTTGCGCCAAAAACGTGAAACACGTTAATATCGAATCTGCTATATATTACAACACTCTTTCCCACTCTCGGCTTGATTTATCACAGTTTCGTGTGTTTCCCCTAAAGAATGTATGCAAATTCAAGTTACTTATAGGCGAAGAGAAAACCGTTTGTTGTTTTAACCTTTATCCTTTAGTCCTTTTTATTGTTTTATCGGGATTATTTCTTTAAAAGGAGTTTGAAGATTTCTTTTAAGATGGTTGTTGTTTGTAAAAGTAGATTTAGAGGATAGAAGGGAGATATAAACACGTTAGACTAGAATTGTTGGTATGTAACACGTGGTTCGCCGGATATATTTACATATAAATTATTGTCACAAATGAGATTTGCAATATAACGTTCCTCGCGTTTTGGGAAGTCGCGGCACGTATCCTGCAATATCTCGGAAGGATCCCGGCTAGAGGCAGAGCAGTGCGGGCGGGAGGTGACTTCCCCCCCGTTTCTCACGCCTTTGTGACACTTGTCCCGGGCGCTAAACTCGCGCCGAAGTCAACTTTTTACTTAGACTGACGGTTCGGCTTCCATTGAATTACGTTCAGAATGTACTTGTTGATGGAATATTCAGGGCGCACTCTTTCGACAATATATACACATTTTTCACCGCCCGAAACGTCTTATCCCGTCATAGTTTTTTGGTCGATTTTCTTACACGCCGACGACTGAAATATGTGAATGTTCTACGTTGATGTAAATACATCCATAGAATATTTACACTACAACTATACATTGTATTTTCAGAAAGTTTTATCGTTTCTCTTTATTTCATTTTCTTTTTCTTTTTTTTTTTTATTTCTGGTTGGTATTTAAAAGGGATTGTTGGGAAGAGAAAAGAAGTGATTTGTCAAAATACCCCAGTCGATTAGTTCTGGAATTTAATGGGACAAGTACCGGAAAGAGGAAATGTGTCGCGGAAGAAGGGTTTACAGTAGATGAAGCTTGAAGCTCCCGGATCCACGCCCAGCATATTTTCGCCGAAAATTTGCAAAGAAAGGGCGCTGAGTTGATCACGTCCCAAGGAGAGCCAAGATGGATGCCTGGCGTTTCCAGCATATATATATAGGCGAAGGAGAGGCGTCGCGACGCCCTCTCGGATTCCTTGGGTCCTCGTTCGAAAAGTCATTCTCGAGACCTTCCACCAACCTGTTTAGTATGCATACTACGCCCGTCCAAGTCTCAATCATCAGTATACATGGCGTAAATGTCCCTTACGTTAGCGAGCTCTTTTCCATTACGACTTTCAACTTCTACTTCACCCCTCTTTTTTGTGGGAAGAGAGGAATCTCCAAAAGAGGACGAAAGAAAAAAAAAGCGTCCAGGAAAATAACTCTTCCTTATACTCGGAGACCCTTGTAATTTATGAGTATTTGTAATGCAGTTAGTTCATTTTCTTACTTTGCGCGTTGAGTGTTTAGCCGGCGCGACAAAATCGCGTTCCCCTTTTTTGCTCGAGCTCCAGGAAAATAGCCAACGAAAGCAAAACGGCATGGGACAGTGAAAAATTACAACCAGCACCGCGTAAAGCTGTTTCAACCTGTTTTTTTAACGGTTATACAAAGTACTACATAAGAAGCGCATCGTCTCAGAATTAAACAATTTTAAATGAATAAAGTTTTTATAACACAAAAACAACTTATTATTGTTTCAAAACTACTATTTATTTAGACAATAAAATCTTCAATGGTATTATCTAATGTACAATAGGTATTTTCCTTGACTTGTTGTTTTCCCAAGTTCTCCTATTAGACTGTCTACCGCAATCGAGACCGTCGAACTTAACGTTGCTCTTGAAGCTCTCCATGAATTTTAGCAAAGAGGAGTTACTCGCAGAGTCGCTATCGGCGTCGTTTTCGTCCTGCTCACTTCCGCCATTGTAATATTCTATGATGTCCCTTTCACCCTCGCTATCCGATTCCTCGCAATTCCTATACATAAGATTTTCGAATAAACTCTGAGCTACACTCTTCTCTTGCTTATCATCTATCGTAAATACAAATTCTACTTCTTTATCCTTCTTTTTCTCGATTTTATCTTCATCGAAGTTATGATTTGGTGATTCTTCCGGAATGGGATCGATAATGTCAAGGGGGATTTTAATATTTAATGATTCTTTCGTGCGTGGTAAACTATTTTTTTTATTTACATCTAATTTAATATTTTTCTTATCTAAAGATTTTCCATTTCTAGTTGATTCCAAATATTCTAATTTTTTTTGTAACTCTTTATTTTCACGTTCTGTTTGTAATCTTTTAGCAATTTCTTTTTGTAATTGAGCTGTTAATTCGATTACGTCTTCTTTTTGTGACGACAATTTCGATTTTGCGATCGTACAACAAGTTTTTATTCTTCTTATTGGTATCGAATCGTTACTGGGTTTCTTGGGTACTTGCTTCACCGAGGCGGATTTTTGACATTTTTTGGTTAAGTTTGTTGAAGTATACGATGAGGTATCTTGTATCGAATGGTTGTAAGGTAAACTTGTTGCAGTCATACACCATTCGTACTCCTGATCGTAATTGAAATGTTGTTTATTTTTTAAAATTTCCAAAATTTTCTTTACCGTTGCATCCGAAAGTAATTCATTATGACGGAAATCGGCCACTTCTAAAGATTTTGAGTAATCAATAACATCTACTAATCGTTTTGAGATATTTTCCGTGATGTTGCATCGTTGCATATCGAGAGCTTTAATCCAAAGATCGTCATCGAGTTCGTTTAGAATGTGGGTAAGTCCTTCATCGCCGATGTTTGGATTACAATTTAATGTAATTCGTTTTAAACCGGTCATAAGATCAACGTCGGGGTCTTCATATCGTAAAGAACAATGCCAACTTTCGCTGTAGCGATTAATCTGTTGATAACGAATTACTTGTGCTAAATATTGTGCGCTCATTGAACCTAATCCACACGCTGTAAGGTTAAGGACTTCAATGTTTGGAATGTTCTTTATATAACTACATAATTGTTGGCAGCCGTTATCTCTTAATGGACAATATTTGAATGAAAGTACTTTTAAAGATTTGCTTTTATTTAAAGCATCAAGAAGGGGTCCTAAATATTCGCTACTAAGTGGTATACCGTCCAACTCCAAGTACATCAATACTTGAGATCGCGCAACAAGATGCCTAAGTGCGTCGATTAAAGCAGTCAAAATAAAATGAGTGTAAAGATATCCCCCTTTCCTCCTCATCTCTTTCGCCTTTTTTTCAGTATCGATTTCCGTTAAAAACTTACACTCAACTTTACATCTGATGGCCACCACGTGTAGACTGCTGTCCTGTTTTAGAGCGGCCAAAATAGGCACCCAGTCTTCAACTTTGATACGATCGCAAGTGAAATCCAGCACGGTCTCGTTCTTAGGCCTTGCCGGTTTGACGTTAGCCAACGGTGTCAAATTCGATCTTCTACAAAGTTCCCCATACCAAACGTAGAAAACATTACTTGGTTTCGGGCATGGTACTTTAGGCACCGAGTTGGTTATCGCGCCTGTCTTTGATTTCACCGACGACATCGGAAAAAGAAAGGCAGATAACGAAATAGTTTCTACTGAAAATGAACAACGAAAATGATTGACATATCAAGTTGAATTTTTTTAAAGATGTGTGTCAAAAGAATAAAATCACTTTGATCTTTCGATTAATAAAAATAATATAGGAGCACTAGAAATTTTTTTTCCGTAAAAGTGGTTGTATAACTCTCAGGAGAAAATCGAATCATAATAAAGTTATGTTTCATTAAACTACCGGAAGACTACATTGGATTTGGAAGATCAAAAGGGAACGTGGTGTTTTTTTGCTGTTGACGAAAACCCAATTCCCTGTTGTTTTGAACTGGAGGGTCCGAGAAGAGAGGCGCGGCGGGTCCACATATAAAAATCATCGCATAAAATCAAAGTCGAAGCCGAGAGGGCAACGTTGTTTGTTTGCATAAAGACGGCGACGGAGGAATCCAATAAGGAAACTCGGCGTCTCCGATGGAGCGTCGCACGCGTCGGTCCTCCTCCCCATTTATATGCAGATCCGGGCATATTCCGGATCGGCCTCAAAGTAAGACGACGCAAGATTTATTAATTTGCATACCGTCGGTCTCGCGAGGTCTGGGTCGTTTGAAGTCGCGGACCGCGCCACTTAAATTATTCATAACATTGTCACCCGCGTTCTAAAATAGTGCCTTCCGTCTTGCTTAATACCATACCGGAATCGGTTTCCCCGTTTCCTTTCATATATTTCAATATTAATGCTCCCGCAACTGCGTACGTGAACGTCTTCAAACCTCCCCAAAACCAAGATTGGTCTTGAAACACGTCACGAAAAGTCGTATCGCGCTCAGTGTAAATCACACGGAAATACAGAAAAAGACGTGTCTTTTTAGATATTTACATAAAACCTCGTCGTCGGAATTTCAAAATGTTTTTAATTCCAGGAATGAAGGTTGAGCGTTCGTTTCCTCCCTTCGGCGTTGATTTCTGTTAGTTATTGTCTCTTCTTGTTAATCTCGTTGAAACCTCGACGATCGCCTCCGATGAAATAAAGCGTTCCACCGTCGTCCTCGAACAACCCTTAACTCAATTGAAAACATCCCACTCGTTAACCTCTCCCAATTAAGCAATTTCCCGGAAAATTTCCTCCATCCGGAGTCAGAGGGGCTAAAACGCAGAGCTCGCGTCGTTTTGTTACCGTTTTCTGTCGAAACGCAGAGAAACGAGTTCCTCTGCGCCCTTCGTTGTTCATCAATGCGCAGCACTCCTTCGGGATTTAGGGACGCAATACTCCTGGCTAGGAGACATCAATAGTAATTATCGTTAAGAACAACGAATAAACGTCCGGGAATCGAACAGAACAGGGAATGGAACAGAACGGAATCGAAACGGCGGCACCCGCAATAGGGTTTTGGAATCCGATTAATATGTTGATTGAAACTAATGACTGTGTCTTCATTGGGAGTTGCAGGGCGCCATCGCTTGCTGACCTGGCGCTTTCCTCTATCGTATTACGTGCACGTGACCGGCACGTAGAACGCCGTCGAGGCTTTAAACGGAGGGTCCGCAATGCGAACAAGAGCTCGGATCGAATCTTGGATATTTATTTCGTGTCGGTTTGCCAAAACGAAAAATCCGTCCGTTGCATTCTTATCTTTCTCCTCGTTCGACGGATTCCGTATGGAATCGACCTACCAACCGTATCGTTACGGTGCGCTTATTATAAGATTTGTTTCAAAATTGTATTGCTTCCGTAGCAATTTCGAGCCTTCACTTGATAATATCAAAAAATCCGACAGGGATCACTTCACAACTAAAAAAATAGATGATTTGACTAGATTAGATAAGGATTGAATATGTTAAGAATTACATAACACAAAAAAATAACGTTTGTTTATATTAAGAGTTGTTTATACATATACCAACAAAATAGAAAGATGACAATTACAATAAGTGTGAATTTAATAATTATTGTGAAAGAAGAGCAATGAAAATTTTGATAATATTTAAAATATTATTATCTCATAAACTAATCATTGTTTTTTAAGTCGGTGTATTTACTTGAACAGTTGATAAGATGTTTGATAGTACGACAACATTTTATAAATATACCTCAAGAAGTCGGTTTTTACAAATTTTTAAATGAAAACAATTTTTAACGATTTTCAAAATTTGTACGAAAGTGGTAATCCTGAGATTATAAATACACTCACTTACACTTGAAATACACCACCCATTAAGAATTAGACTACAATTTTGAAACTTCGGCAAAATAATGCTTTATTATCAACTAAGAAAAACAAAAATTAACATTTTTCAAGAAAAAGCTAGCAGTGGGTTGCANGTCCTCCAAAATGTTCTGGGCGCGACTCCAGACAGCCTCTGGTAGAAATAAGATCTCTTAGCATACTTGCATTTATGATTACAGCGGTTGCGTAAAATTCGATAATTTTCCCGATTAGCACTAGAGGGTGTACGTTTAACTACGGACTTTGCACGGTTACGCAGTCGCATAAGAGATCTTATCTCATCACTCAGCCAAGGTGCAGGCGGGTGCCTCATCCTGCGTTGCCTAAGTGGGGCATGTTTATCATAGAGATTAATGATTTTGGAATTAAAGTAGTCCACTTTAGCATCAATATCTGTTAAACGATACAGTGGAAGCCAATCAATCATCAGTGCATCTGACAATAGCAAATTAGTTTCAACTCGCCCTAGATCACGGTAAGTCACAACACGCCGAGAACGACTCAGATGCTGCACCCAATAGATTAAATCATGGTGTGGTTTAATGTGCCTGGAATAAATGTAAGGGGTGACCTTCGTCCAGCACACATCGGCCCCAAACCATAACCCCAGGTGTTAAGGCACTCATAAACAAAACCTTGATTCATCACTGAAGACGATGTCATTGATAAACCCACCCTTGCCATTCTTGACACCATGCAAGTCTGGCTGCTTTATGAGGAGGTGTTAATGGAAGACAAAAGTAAGGACGGTATGAATGAAGCCCAAAGGAAGAAATTCTTCGGTAAACAGTTCCCATTGACAAGTGTCGATTCAAAGCTCTCGTCCAATCCACAGCAATCGACCTTGTTTGAAATCGATCCCTGGTAGTCATTAATAAGGAGTCGGTTTTCACGTGCGTTGCTTCTTCGAAGGGTCTTCAAGCAGAACGGCGCCTCTGAATACCTTCTTCGGACCATAAAGACCATATCCAAGCAACTGTAGTGTGGTCCCGATTCAGCTTTCTCCCAATCTGTAGGAATGAGATACCCGCCTCTTTCATACCGATAATTCGTCCCCTATCAAAGTCATTTTATGGACATTTTATGGGCAAAAATTCATTAATTGCTAGGAAAAAAATATTGAAAGTTGGAAATAACTTGGTACAGGAAACATAACAGTTGAGTCTTTTCGGCGGAAACTTTCATCGTTTTTTAGTTGATAATAAAGCATTGTTTTACCGAAGTTTCAAAATTGTAGTTTGAACTTTAGTAGGTGATGGCTTTCATATGAAAGTGAGCAAGTTCAATAAAGGTAATTGAAGGTAATTAAAGATCGTAAATGGAAGGAATGCTAACATAGTTGATTTCTATGATAACTCGAAAAGTTGGTATCATAAAATTGGTAATGTCATTTAAAGGAAACCCCACTTTTCCAATTTCTTAACCTGTGGATAATTTAATAAACTAAGAAGTTATAAATGATATCACAATAGCTGAACAGCTTTGGAACAGAAAATCGTACAGAACTTGATTTCAACATGTGATGGTGACGGAATAACACTAACATATCAACCAGTGACACTAACTAGTCCGAATGAGTTTATTGATAATTTTTATGAGGCATTTTACGACGCTACCAACAAACTTTACTCTTAGATTTCCATCTACTTTAGTTGCCCATTTCTTCGTTGTCTTTAGGTATAGCAGAATATTAAATACTTCATCTAAAACAGGGTTTTATTCTGTCGATATGTTGATATCAAGAACGTCAAATAATAACGAATGTCGTCATATACCGAATACACCTCCAAATGAATTTAAATTTCAAGCCTATATGCGGCCGTTATTGAACCGAATTAAAAAATCTTTATCAATTCCAATTTATGCCTAATACACATAAATTCTCTCTCACATTCTCAGCGCAATATAAACAACGATCTAATGTCTTACTACTTCTTTTTTATTACTTTGTGTATTATATGACGACGTACAAGAGGTTTTATTACAAACATCATCAATTTCCTGTTAACAAGCATTCTGCATGATACAGCAAAGATGTATCTCGATTAACACCTAATGGATCAGAAATATATCACGAATGTGTGTTTATGTTTGTGTAAAAGGTTAAAATCCTTGTTGTTATTTACATTTAACAGCAGAATTAACGTTGATATCTCCACAGCTGGTTACGATGGTGTTAAACGCATGCTATAAATGGGGTGGGGAAAAACAAGAACATCTAGATAACAATTAACAACAACATTGTTTAGATATTATTAATAAACCTTTTGTTCCAAATACAGGGGGTGGTCCATTTAACGTGAAACAAGCGATTATCTCAAAAACGGTTCATTTTACATAAAAATGAACCAAATGAAAGTTGTTCTGTGCGAAGGGGGAAACCATATGACGATAACATGTTTTGACCTTGACCTTATTTTCAAGGTCATATGAAGGTCACGGCCAATTTCTTAAATGGCAACCTATCTTTTTGATTTCAAAATCTGAATCTATGGTTAAAAGTAAAATAATTATATAAAAAAAAATTACCGTGTGGTTTTGCCAGTACGACGTAAATTTCAAACACTCTCTGTATATCAAAACGAAGAGGGCTATGAAAGCATAAAAGTAGCTCAGGTTCGCGAAAGCCGCAACTTTCTATCTTTCATATTAACTGAGATACCCTGCAATCCCATCGAAATTTGGACACATCCTGTACATACATACAGTTCATTAATTAAAAATAATAGTTATTAACATAAAATATATTGTTATTTTAAATATAATTGTGGACAAGATACCACAGTATGCTTCATTTTCATCCACTTACAGATTTTCTTCCATCGATTTACTCAAATACACTAATAGTCAGCATTACTGTATTTCATTCCATTC